ACATTAATGGTCAATTGTAAAAATATTTCGTAACATCACAGCATCATATCTGGTATACAACTGCAACCCTGCCTTCTCTATCTTTGACCCATTTTTTTTATAATTTGTTAACCATGGAATGAAAGTCATTTCAGTTAACCCTAACCACAATGTAATATATTAAATAAACTTGACCATCTTCCAATATGGACAAAACCATTTAGCATTCTAAGGAAAAAATGTGATCTTGGTCTGCCCTGGTCATGTGGGTAAACATTGTTGCTGCCAGCCAGCTTACCATTAAGGTTGATACAGATTTGAGGAAAGGAGGTTACCTTCAAAAGATGAGCTCATTAATTTATTTAGCTTACAGTCTTTACAGGTTAAAAATATTCAGGCCAAAGATATATTTATTTTTTTCAAGCATAACTGTTCACTGTTCTTACACTTTCTGGAGTTCATGGCACAGGTGAGTTGAAAACAATACAGAACTCTGAACAAGATTTATTGTGCATTTTCTAATTTTTCACTTATAATATCTATCAACATATAATATTACAACAAATCAATACATCATATAAAGATTTCAAAATATAAAAACATCATCAAAGACTTCAACATATCAATACATCATCAAAAGATTTCAACATATTTCTAAATCATATAAATATTTCGACATATCAATGCATCAAAAAAATTCAACATATAAATACATCATCAAAAACTTCAACATATCAATACATCATCAAAAGATTTCAACATATTAATAAATCATATAAAGATTTAAACACAAAAGTCACCAATAAAGATGGCAACATATCAATGCATCAAATAAAGATTTCAACATATCAATACATGAAATGAGCAGCGTCACAACAAAACCAACGTAATGCGTTTGCGACCAGCATGGGTGAATCCATGCTGGTCGCAAACCCATTATGTTGGTTTTGTCATGACACGGCTCAAATAATGATTTCAACATATCAATACATTGTATGAATAATTACATTCCAATAAATCATCAATTACCAATACACGTAATTATAATTGAGCAAATCCATTATTTTTTAAACAAGAAAGACATATTGACCCTTTTATCACTCAACAGAGTGAAGACTGCATCTACTTACATCTGCTCTGACATTAACCTTAACGGCTTAAATTCCTAACCAAGTGCTCAGGTTCATTCAAGGTACCCTACATCAAATATAAATGGAGTATGTAAAACTTTAATCCTCTGTGACCTTGACCTAAATACAAGTGATATACAAGTTACAAAGGTTTTCAAAGTTCATGTGTCTTTGACCTAAATACCTGTGTACTACAAAGCATTTCAAATGTCATCTGTTGTTGACCTAAATACAAGTGCCCTACAAAGGATTGTAAAGTCCATGTGTAGTTGACCTAATTACATGTGACCTTCAAAGCAGTTTTAAGTCCATGTGGACTTTATCTAAATACATGTGACCTACTAAGGATTTGAAAGTCTGTATGTCCTTGACCTAAATACATATGACCTTCAAAGCAGTTTTAAGTCCATGTGTCCTTGACCTAAATACACATGACCTACAAAGGATTTGAAAGTCTGTATGTCCTTGACCTAAATACATGTGGCCTACAAAGGATTTGAAAGTCCAAGTGTCCTTGACCTAAATACATGTGACCTTCAAAGGATTTTAAAATCCATGCTAGATACACGACCCTACAAATAAAATATCAAACACATCAGTCAATAAATGATGGGTGTTTGTGGAAGGTAGAATATCTATTTTTAGCTTTGGTGACCTTAACCGTTACTCTATTTTAATGGTAGGTGTTAAGCCATTAGAAATCATCATTAGCAATGGTAAGTATACTTTGAACTTTGACTGGCTGACTTAGGAGTGTAGGCTTAAACATTCACTAATTATTGGTTGGACAATATTCTCTAGTTATCTGCTTGGCAATGGTCAATGTCATAGTAATGTTGACCTTTGACCAATGACCACAAAATTGACACAATTGTCACCTATTAGTCAAACATTTAATCTTGGGACTGTTGATTTTCCTGTAAACAAAGTATACCTGATAAAGACTTTTGAGTCGAAACGTTGTATATTTTTCAAATAAAATAATTACATTTTTAAATTGAAACTGGAGTTGATTTCCATATTCAAACTTACATAGACTGTTTATATAGAAAGGCTTGTTTCTAATTCATATCTTCTATAATAATTGAACTATTACAACACAGGTTTTTTATGTAATCACTTCAATGAAAACAAACGCTTTTCTTTAGCTTTCAATGTTTCGTCTTCTTCAGAAAAAATTGACGTTTATAAAATAACAAATGATGCAACGTCTGTTTAACTATATGCTAAACAGAATGTGACTTTAACGCAGAAATAAAAACTTTATCAAATACATACACAATCTGTCATGAACATAAATACAGCAATATACAATAAATTACACATATAATATGGATCTGCACATGTGATACAAAAATTCTTGTAATTAATAATAAAAAAAACCCTTGATTTGAGAAAAAACATACTACATGTATATGTATACCGGCTCAATAATATGCTTGAAAGATGAAAAAGTTATACATTGTACAAAACTTTTGCATTCATACCATTAGGAGATAATGAATCCAGTATGATTCTTTTTTTTAAAATTTTTTTTAACACTGGATTTTTGTCACTTAACCCTAACAAAGCTTTCATTAATTACTAGTATATAATTTAATTACTTCAAGATTTCATAATCTAATTAAGATAAATTAATGATGTCTATATAAAAGATACCAGAATAAATAATTAATATCACATGTTTTTTGTTGTTTTTTTTTTGCACGCATACGAGAGGGTGTTTTCCACCACATAACCATATATGAAAAATAAGGAAATAGTGGTTTGCAGTTCTATAGTCTTTAAAGTAAGATCAAATTTTTAAAAACGCTCCCAAGAATATTACATAGTGTATAAAATTGACTTTTGTGCGTCATGTGTTTGCTCCACTAAATTTGTGTAGTTTGTATAATTTTGTATATAAATTTTTTTTTTTTTGGTTTGTTTTGGGTTTTATGTCACATCGACACAGTATAGGTCATATCGCGATGTTCCAGCTTTACTGGTGGAGGAAGACCTCAGGTGCCCTTCCGTGCATTATTTCAGGCACGAACGGGCACCTTAGTAGAACCACCGACGTTCTGTAAGCTAGCTGGATAGCTTCCTCACATGAAAGAATCGAAAGTCCCTGTCGGGATTCGAACCCACAGCGGTGAGGGGCAAAATTATTATTTAATCTTGTTATGCTTGCCAAACATATATATGCAATTTGTATTTTCATATCAAGGGTCGACTGCAAAACTGCAGTAACTTATACATGTTATATGATAAACCCTTGATATACAACTGAATGATTGTGTTTCTTACGAAAATAAAGCTATTGAAAATAAATTATCTACAAAAACAAAAACATTAAGTGTAAAAAAGTGATTTATCACAGTAAGACAAAACATACATATACCCTAAAGTAAATGATTGCATGTGAAGCTAGTTATATATGAGGTAGGATAGTACATAAAGTTTGCAGATAAAGGAATGTGAGAAATCGGCACAGAAGGCGAAAGTTGTTGATACTGAATCATACAAGAGGGCCATGATGGCCCTGAAGTCGTTCACCTGTATATAGCCCCCCCCCCCCACCCTCCTGGCAGGGCCAATTTTAACCCAATGGCTTTTATTTGAACAAACTTGGTAGACACTCATAAGAAGATGTTTCATGCTAAACATCTAAGCTCTAGCTCATTGGGTTTCTTAAAAGCAGATTTTTAAAGTTTTTACTATACACATATAGTTAATAAATGACATCCCTGGGGCGGGGCCAGTTTTGACCCCAGGGCTTTCATTTGAACAAACTTGGTAGACACTCATTAGAAGATGTTTCATACTAAATATCTTAGCTCTAGCTCTTTGAGTTCTTTAAAAGAAGATTTTTTAAGTTTTCACTATATGCATATAGGGAAAATCAATGACCCCCTGGGGCGGGGCCAATTTTGACCCAAGGGCTTTTATTTGAACAAACTTGGTAGACACTCATAAGAAGATGTTTCATGCTAAATATCTTAGCTCTAGCTCTTTGGGTTCTTTAAAAGAAGATTTTTTAAGTTTTTACTATATGCATATAGGGAAAATCAATGACCCCCTGGGGCGGGGCCAATTTTGACCCCAGGGCTTTTATTTGAACAAACTTGGTAGACACTCACTCACTAGAAGATGTTTCATGCTTAATATCTTAGCTCTAGCTCTTTGGGTTCTTTAAAAGAAGATTTTTTAAGTTTTTACTATATGCATATAGGGAAAATCAATGACCCCCTGGGGCGGGGCCAATTTTGACCCCAGGGCTTTTATTTGAACAAACTTGGTAGACACTCATTAGAAGATGTTTCATGCTAAATATCTTAGCTCTAGCTCTTTGGGTTCTTTAAAAGAAGATATTTTAAGTTTTTACTATATGCATATAGGGAAAATCAATGACCCCCTGGGGCGGGGCCAATTTTGACCCCAGGGCTTTTATTTGAACAAACTTGGTAGACACTCACTAGAAGATGTTTCATGCCAAATATCTAAGCTCTAGCTCTTGCGGTTTTTTAAAAGAAGATAATTATTTAAAGTTTTTTCTTTCGGTTGCCATGGTAACCAGAGTTCTGCATGGAATTAAATTCTTTGAACAATTTTTAAAGGTGACCACCAAAGGAACATTCCTGTGAAGTTTGGATGAAATTGGCTTAGTGGTTTATGAGGAGTTGTCATTTAAAGTAAAAGTTTACGGACGGACGACGGACGAAAAGCGATCACAAAAGCTCACCCTGTCACTTTGTGACAGGTGAGCTAGAAAAAAATCTGGGAGAAAACTTAAGAGGGGCTGATACTTAAAGAGAGACATAGCAAAATTTTCATTTCTTCATTTTGATTTTTTCATTCATTATTCTGTTAATGTTCGTAAAATAAATACACTAAAATTTTCATTTCTTCATTTTGATTTTTTCATTCATTATTCTGTTAATGTTCGTAAAATAAATACACTACGGACATAGGGACAAAACTTTACTCTTTATAAAGAATAAAATGGTGGTTTCCTAACTTGGGTCAGGTGGTCAGGTTAGAGCGTTTAGTTTTCACAATAGTTGCCACAGTGAACTCTGGAAACGTTAAAAAACATGTTGACTTTGACTAATGTTTCAATCATACAATATCCACAATATCTGTTATTGTAACTTCCATGGTTTGTTCAAGTAACATGGTTTTAAAACAACTCGATGATTCTGTTGACGTCTACATTTCTTTCAATATATCTAGATATAGTTCAATATACATGTATCTAGATATATTTCAAATCAAACCCCAAAAATATAGAATTTATACCTAAATTCATGCTTCGGCTTTAAAACAAATGTCATGTTTTCATAATTGGAGTACATTAAATCATTTTGATATCTTGTCATTAATTTGCCCGAGTAATCCTTTAAGAAAAAAGAGTTGCTGGTATTGGAAAATTTAATGAGAAAAATTTGGGAGAAAAATATAAAAGTAACTGGTACTTATGACTAATGTGATACATTTTTTTTTAAATAAAGAAATTCTGAGTTAAAACACTAAGAGAGCATTTATTATTGTCATTTTTTTTTGGTTAAAATATCTTTGCTTTATAAATGAAATGCTCTTAACAGCAAACTAACATACTTGAAATCCCACGTCAAGGCCTACTTATATTACATTTGTACATATAATTCAGCTAAGGGCCATTAGTTGACGATACGGATAAGTGTGAAAAAATTAGGGACTAAAAAGAAGAGAAAATGTTGTTGATACTGGGGTTTAGTCTACTGCGGACAGTAAGTGGATATTTTCGATACAGATACGAGTTAATTATAGAAAAACCAGCAAACAAAGCTTATACAAAAAAGACTTAAGTTAGGGGCAAAAAAATTAATAATTCAGGAATATGTTCTGGTACAGTAAGTTAATGTCAATGAAGGTTCTTGAAAAAGGAATGTTGTAAGGCAGGAACAAGCATGGATATTCATTATCTAAGAACACGTTCAATTAGTTATCACAACTGAAAGTCACTGAAACTGGAATGTGGTCAGTCAATGGCGCCAGACGTGTGATAATGTTGTAATTCTGTATCTTCTGAAATTAGAAAATAAAAAACGCAATTCACAAAAGTGAGAAATTCTATCAAATATCAGCTAAATCTGACGTGTTTATTTTGTATGTGTTATATTAATGGTGCCAATAATGACAGAAATGAACCTTTGAATAATATTTGTCTGTCACACAACACTTTATTTGTCAAATTCATGTGACACCAGCACTTCCATATTCCCCGTCTCATATTAACGCAGCAGTGACTTGAAAAAATTGCAAGTTCATTAACTTAAGCACCAGTGTAACTGGTTTTCAACCATTATATAGGACAGACAGTTCCTGAAAGGGTATATAGCTATCTAATGAAATATTTTCATGAAATTCATCACCAGTAAAATTACATAACAGATTTTTAGTTTTCTTTTTAACACTTGTCATGCTGGAACCAAAAGAGATTAGACTTTGCCACTAAGTACAAATCCAGGCCACTGAGGCCAGCCTACATATCCATGCAATAAGCTCTTTTATTCTGAATAACTTCAAATATTTATCTTGATCCCCCCCCCCCCCCCCGCCAAAAAAAAAAAATAATGTTCAGGCTGGTAAAAACTTTTCTAAATACATCGCTATAACATTGAATTCCTAGTAGGAAATAAACTCAACTTATTTATTAGTAAAAAAATTAGATTATAGATAAGAAAAAACATGTTTTCTTGACAATTTTGTCATCTTTTTTTGTTGAATTAAGACGTCAGTAATAATGGAATTATGCATTAAACCTAACTAGACCATCTTGAAATTTGATTTCATCCTTTTCAAGTTCCTTTGACCTTCTTATGCATCAGACTGGAACCATGTATACAACTTTTGTAGAGGACACCCTAAGATCATTCCTGTGAATTGTGGCCAAAAGCCACCATGTGGTTTAGGAGATGTTATTTTTTTTAGCAATTGAGGATAATGAAGAAAGACAGACACACTGCCATCATAAAAGCTCATTTCTGAGCAATTTATGCTGTACATACCTAAGCTCAAAAGATGGGATAGTATAAAAAACCTCACCAAAAGTGTGACTAAAATCAGGTGATCTGATGATGATCGCAACTAACAAGTCCAACAAAACTCAAATTTAGTTGAAATTTTAGTCTAAAGCTTACCACGGGACTTTCTTTTCTGTACAATACCACATCAATTCTCCTTCTTCCACCCACAGGTGACAAAATCAAATTTCCATGGGCATCTTTCTTCAAAGGGGCATTATAGATTGCATCCATCGTAGCACTTTCAATATCAGCGTCTATAAGGTAATACTGTCTTAAGTAAGGGTCCTCCAAAACAGTTTTAAGGCCCTCAGGTGTACTGACAGCCTCTTCATGTAACAAAGGTGTTCTCAACTCTGTTCCTGCAAGACAAGATGTGACATTCTTTATTAGGCTTTGATTTTAATTCTCATTAACATATTTCAATGTTCAGAAAACTGAAATACCTGTATATACTGTTTGGTGGTTCCAGGTGTCAACTAATAAATTAATGTTACCACCAAAGGTGTATTCTTATCATATAAGAAAAACATTTTTGGTAACAGTGAGCATAAAGTGGGTGATGCAAAGGACCGTATGTTTCAAGTTAACAAACAAATGAGCTGCGTCATGACAAAACCAACATAATGGGTTTGCAACCAGCATGGATCCAGACCAGCCTGCGCATCAGCGCAGTCTGATCAGGATCCATGCTGTTCGCTATCAGTTTCTCTACTTGTTATAGGGTTTGTAAGCGAACAGCATGGATCCTGATCAGACTACGCAGATTCACAGGCTGGTCTGGATCCATGCTGGTCGCAAACGCATTACGTTGGTTTTGTCATGACGCGGCTCAAATGTACATTGTAGCTCTAATACTTGAACATTATGGTTATGGTTGTCAATCTATATTGTCAGTCTGTTTCAGTCAATAATGTGTTTCAACGAGACACTGACAGTGTCTTATGCAATACATGTTTAAGTTGACATAAAAACTTTATTTACTCAGCAGTTCATTAAAAACAGCCCAATTCAAATTATTTGCAAATAGGCATGCTGACACAGATGGTCTCAGGTTTTCAGCAGGTTGCCCTAGTAACAGCCCAGGGCTCCCATTTAGTTCCAAAATTTGGAAGTCAGGAACTGAAAATGTTTGACATTGGAAGTCACATTATATAGGTAAGAAGGAAAAACATTATATTTTGGAAGTCACAAAATTCTTGAAACAAAGTGATCCCCGATCAGAATCATTCTAAATCACAACAAAATTATAAACTATTCATTAAACCCATGACAACATATCGGAATCTGTAAAAACCGAATATCGGACGGTTGATAGAGGACTATGAAGTCAATTATAAATAGATAATAACCTTGACAAATACCTGATGACGGAGGGTGTGAATAACCTTTTTATACTTGTCAATTGGTTGTGTCTAAAACGCTAACTGAGCGGTAACAGCACACTGATTGTCTGAATTGTTTATTATGTCTTATTTCACAGTTTGATTTATTGTAAGGTATAGCTGTATACCGTTCTATATTCATGCCAAAATGCACGAGGAAATGGTAAGTTAAAATCAGTATGAATAAAAAATAGAGAACTTTTATACTGTGTTGCTTTTGTATATTTATTTCCAAAATGTCAACGCCATGGAAAAGACATTTATCCGCACCATGCCATATTCAATCGCCAAAAAGAATTAGACGTGAGCTGTCTATAAGTGACAAAGTTAAATTAATTAAAGACAGCAAAACTTTGCCAAAACCTACATTATAATAATTGTCTGACAAATATGGCATCGGAAAATTTACAGTTGGTGACATTATTAAAAACAAACAAAGTTATTAAGAAGGATACGAACAAAATTGCAGTTCAAAAAAGCAAAGGATTAACTATAAGTTCAAATATACGGATGTAAATGAGAAGACGTTTGAATGGTTTAAGCAAGCTAGGGGAAAGAACATCCCTGTTTCAGGTCGGCTAATTTGTGAGAAAGCAGCTTCTATTGCCGAGCGCCTTGAAATTGAGGACTTCAAGGCTAGTAATGGTTGGCTCAGCAGTTTTATAAATCGCCACAACATTCAATGGTTAAAAGTTTGTGGTGAAAGGGCCGATGTAGATCCGGAAGTAGTGACTGAATAATTATAAGTCGCGCTTGCCAGATATGCTGTCTACATACGATGACAATGACATTTTTAATTGTGATGAAACGGGTCTGTTTTTTAAAACATTGCCAGATAAGACATTGTGTATTAAGTCAGAAGACTGTAAAGGGGGTAAATTGGCAAAAGAGCACTTAACAGTGATGTTGTGTTGTAGTTTAGGCGGGTAAAAGCTTAAGCCGTAAGTGATAGGCTACAAATCCAAGGTGCTTTAAAAACATTGATAAAACCCAGATACCTGTACAATGGGAATCAAACAAGAAAAGTTGGATGACTGCAGTTCTTTTTAAAGACTGGTTACAAAACTTGAACAGGATAATGCGTCGTAAAAATAGAAATATTTTATTGTTCATGGATAATGCTACTTCTCACTGCAATGATGTCACACTTAGCAACATCTCTCTAAAGTTCATTCCTCCAAATTGCACTTCACAACCATTAGATATGGGAATTATCAGAGCCTTTAAAGCACGATACCGGAAGTATCTACTAAGACACATACTGTGTAAAATGGACACTGTGCCAAGTGCATCCCAACTTGCAAAATCAGTGCGTTGGATTTACAAATCTTGGCAAGAAACATCTGTTGACACTATACGGAGTTGTTTTAAGAAATCAGATTTTGTGTGTGATGCTATTACTACCGAGACACTGACAGAGTGTGACTTAGACACAGATGACCCATATGATGACATCCCAATTCAACAACTTATTGATGCATTTCCAAACTGCGATTTTAGAAGTGTCTCTAAAGTGGAAAATACTCTTCCAACTGAAGAGATTTATGATAGACCCGATTGGGAGGATACATTTCTCAGCACAGTGTGTTCTACAAATCCAGACCCTTTAAATCATAGTGACACAGACGATGATGATTCTCTAGAAACACCATCTTCAAATCTGACCGCTGAGAAAACCAGACAAAACCCTCGGTCCGAAAGCCGTCCGGTTTTCACAACTTTCACTGTACATTTCCAAAACTTTTATAAAAATTAGCATGTATCTGTTGGCGTGCGGCTTTAAAATCAGTAACTTAACACAGAAAAGTTAAGTATCATGCCATGTTGATTTGCCTGGTGATCATTTACTGCATGCTATCAGTTGTAATCAACAACACTTGAGTCCTAATTTAACATAGGTAAACATCTCTTTATTTCAATCATCATTATACATGTTTTGTTGCAATTACTGTATGCAATTACTTCTTGCTATGATTCTATTCTAAGTATTTTGTTCAAATGTCTGGATTTTGTACAATTGTAGCGTGACTACTAATTTGAACTGTTAACAGTCGTCTGTTGTATTTCCTGAGATCATTCAAGAACTTAAAAGCATTGACTGTCCAATACATTGTTAAGTCAGTGAACTTCCCCCTATCATCATGTAAGACAGTATAAATAACCCTTTTACATTTTAAAGATGAAGATATATAAAATAATTAATTGGTATAATGTTTCAAGGTTTAATCTTACACAAGTCATAATAAGTCTTAATGGGATCAAAAAATCTTTCATAGAATGCTTTAGATCAAATATGTAGAAGATCTGTGCATGTTTTAGTTCCATTTTTCAAAGTTGTATTCAGGTCATTTAAAGCAACTGGAAAAATAGATTGAGCGATCCTGAAAGAGGATCATACCAAACCATTACATGCTAGCACTATAATAGAAGCATATTACCAAACCATTACATGCTAGCACTATAATAGAAGCATATTACCAAGACATTACATGCTAGCACTATAATAGAAGCATATTACCAAACCATTACATGCTAGCACTATAATAGAAGCATATTGCCAAGACATTACATGCTAGCACGATAATAGAAGCATATTACCAAGACATTACATGCTAGCACTATAATAGAAGCATATTACCAAACCATTACATGCTAGCACTATAATAGAAGCATATTACCAAGACATTACATGCTAGCACTATAATAGAAGCATATTACCAAGACATTACATGCTAGCACTATAATAGAAGCATATTACCAAGACATTACATGCTAGCACTATAATAGAAGCATATTACCAAGACATTACATGCCAGTGGTATAAGAGCAACATACCAATACAAAGTATACCAGTGCTTTAAGTAGAATACGAGTATTATACAAATATGGACTTTTTAACTAGTGAGTATGATGTGCTTCATGTATGTGCTGTACACTAAGAAGTACATATCTGTTGTTTTATTATATAATTTATAAATCGCTTTTATATGGACTATTAAACCTATCATTGAATACAACGGAAATCGATAATTTTCAGCTTGTCTACTTTTTCCATAATTTGGCCTTGTGTTTTAATGCGCATTAAATTGACTTTTAATTGCGATTTTTGTTTATTTATTTATTTATTTTTTTTTCCAGAATAATAACAACAAACTTGGCATGACGTCACATCATAACACACATCATTTGTGGGCTTTCACAAAAATCTATTCATAGAGAAAAAAACGTTGAATATACTCTGAAAATCTACATGTATTATTAGAAGAAAAAACAGCGAATATACTCTTGATATTGACCTGTAACCTTTTAACAAAAAGTTACTTCTAATCAGAGAAATGCATTTCAAAGCTATCTATAGATTATATAATAAACTGAAACATTACATGCAAGTTCTAGAAGAGGAACACATATACTATCATACAACACATCATTCTGTGATCATGGCCAACTCTGTTTACTTTTCAGTCAATACATTTTGTAAAATTTTCACTAGAAATGTGTAACTGTTTTGTCCAGACTGAACATTTTTTATTTTATATGCTTTTGGAGGTGTTATAGGATTAAATATCAAGATTTAATTAAGATTAGCTAATGGAAAGATAAGGTTAGCTTAGAGACTATAGAAATTGAGCAACATTTATAACTAAATGCTATTTTTTTGGCCTGTTGCTCTGATTCAGTGGTTACGGTTTCTGATCTAAAAACTTCTTGGTGAAGTCCAAGTATTTCTGTGATGATTTATTGGACAATAGAAAGTCAATGGACCTTTTTTTGTGCATTAACATCTGCAGAAACATGAGGACACATTTAAAGCCCTATTCCCCTGGACTAATCATTGCATTAAGATATTTTATAATGCAAGAAACATAATTTATATCTAATCTAATAATTCAAACAACAATATATCAATTATTTTTGTGGAGGATTATTATGGTAGTTGCGTGTGACATAAAAAGGCTTGTATGAGTAAAGAATCA